CCCCCCACACACACACCAAAAGAAAATTAAAATCAATTTTTACCTTCTCTATTGAGTTTTAAAGCTGTTTGACCGCTATTTAACAAAACAATTGGCCTACTTGTATGTCTCTGTTTTTATTTTACATGCCTTCGTGATAAAGGCTTTCATCTTATAATAACCATGCAATCACTGCATTGTTCATTTTTGTCTTCTAGAGCAAGGGTCACCAAACTACGACCCTCAAGCCAGCTCCAGCCCGCAAGGTCGGTTCGTCTTACCCACAGCCACAAATGCCACCATACGCAAAGTAAAGAAATTCGCAAACTCTTGCCTCGATTTTCATGTGACAAATCTTTCATTTAACCCCTCCTTCCACAAATGGGGATAAACAAAGAAGTCGGGAGACGTCAACGAGGCAACTGATGAACATTTGAATGGAGTTCTTTATATTAGATGAAGAGAATAGGAAACAAATATGGATGCTGTCTGATTTCCAAGTTTAAATATTCAGATTTGTGAGCTCTAAATGCGTTTTAACTCTCTTGTCAAACATACTTAACCAAATAATGTTTGCTGATTTTGTGTTTTCTGTCTACATTTTCTGCATTTTTTTAATACAATGTTTTAGTTGCTTTTATATATTCATTATTTTTGTATTTATATTATTATTTATTGGTAAACGTTTGACAGGTATGTATTCTAGGTATTGTATTGACCTAAATAGTTAACCATCCTGCGCTCGACATTCTCTCAAGTATCCGGCTCACTTTGAAAAAAATAAAAATCGGTGACCCCTGTTCTAGAACGACGCATGATATTAGACGGTTACTTTTTGAAAGACATGTTTTCAAGCAGTCACGGAACATTTTCTCAGATACCGAGCACAACCTTTGTATCTTTTTTTAAAAAAACAGATACTATAGGCTAACAGGTTGTGGTGTTAAAGCTGAAGGGTTCTGTGTAAATACAGTATTCCTCTTGCTTTGGATATACAGAACTCTCTGGCTCTGAGGTCACAAAACACCTGAACGGACACACCACACGGACAGGAAGCGTCTTGACCTGCCACATTGCCGTGCTCTGGTTCTTTCTTCACTGCTACTTTACTTCCATTGTGCTTTTCCTTTTCAGTTTCTGTTGACGATGAGTCTCGGTGGGGGTTGTCTTTGGTAGACCAACTCTGCAGCTTTTTTCAATAGAGGTGAAGTAGTTTCCCCAGGGTCCCCTTGACCCCGTCAATCTATCTATTCTACGTGGCCTAGCTCTTCCTTTCTAGCCTGATACTTGATGATGTAGCCTCTCGAGACTCGCTGACAACTGATATTCGTAACATGTTGCCAAACCGTTTCGTTTTTGGCTTTCTATAAAAATAATGCAGGCAGGACTCGTTGACAACAGCTGATCTTTCATTTGATCTCCATTTCTATCGCTTGAACCGATTTTAATTTCAATGGATTTACTAAATGCATAAGTCTGACATTGGTATATCATCTTCATCATCATCCAGTGCCAGATCTGCAACAGACATCGGCGATCATGGTTTTCCATTCATTCCTTTGCTCGGATGCTCTCAAAAAAGCTACGTTTCCCTGATCTTTGGTACATATGTATATAATGTTGGCAAAAAACAATAAAGTGATAGACTGTCTCTTTGTATCTATAGCAATGCTTTGATAAGATAGAAGTAAACGAGAAGTCATATATAGCTGTCGCAGTTATCTTTTTCTGTTCGTATTTCTATGTCTGTACCTTCTGGACCCATGTTCTGTAAAAGTGATGCCAAGATATTATTTTAACACCTTGAGTTGTTTTACTCGTTTTTTTTCACTCGCATGAAAAATAATTTAGTGGACTGAAAATGAGGGTGGATAAGACACATCTTTGTCATACTCCTAATACTATTTAAAATTTGTATTGTACTTTGCATTGCCTTCTTTCGATTTTACTGAGTGTCTGCTTGTAGAGTTCATAGCTTTTACGTTTTCCACCAATATCATTTTTACGCCGTATGGTTCAAGCGTATTCCATTGCATGACACAGTTGACGCTGTCTAAAGCCTTCTCCTGATCTAGACAGGCAATGTCGGATTCTTTGTTGAGCTTTATTGTTATCTCACACATATTTTTCAAATACAGCTTCCATGCATCTTCTCCTTTTGTAAAATCCGAATTGAGCTCAGATGTCTTTGTGGAATAGGTCTGATCCGAACCCATGTTCCAATATTTTGTGAGGAACGTTTTATAGGTATTTTTACATTGTTTATGTCACATGGTAAAACTTCTCTGACGTTTTAGCCTAATATCCCCCTCTCCGTCTCTCTATCTTTTTCTCTCTGTCTTTTCCTGTCTCAGTCTCTGTTTTTGTTTCTGGCCCTGTCTTTCCCTCTGTCACTGCCTCTGTTACTGTCTGTCTGTCTGTCTGTCTGCCTCTCTTTTCTCTCTCTCTCTCTCTCTCTCTCTCTCTCTCTCTCTCTCTCTCTCTCTCTCTCTCTCTCTCTCTCTCTCTCCCCCCCCCCCTCTCTTTCTCTCTCTCTCTCTCTCTCTCTCTCTCTTTCTCTCTCTCTCTCTCTCTCTCTCTCAGCGAGTCTTTATGGAGCCCGCTAGTAGTTTCAACGTCTGTTTTCCTGTTCTGTCCGTCTCGTTGTTCCTAGACATGTTCTCCTCTTTACTCAAACAAAGTTCTCCCTCCCCCCCCCTCCCACTCTCTCTCTCTCTTTAGTCTCTCTCTCTCTCTCTCTCTCTCTCTCTCTCTCTCTCTCTCTTTCTCTCTCTCTCTTTCTCTCTCTCTCTCTGTATATATCTTTCTCTCTCTCTCTGTATATATCTTTCTCTCTCTCTGTATAATATATCTTTCTCTTTCTCTTTCCCTCTCTTTCATCCCTCTTTCGCTCCCCTCTCTATCCCCTGTCTTTCCCACCTCTATCTCTCTCTTTCTCTATGTGTGCGTGTATCTTTATCATCATTATAATGGGTGTG